CAACGCTCTCGTCTCTCGTCATTCTCTCTCTTCTCCCTGCGCGCTCTCACTCTCTCTCTCCATCTCTCATCTACTCTCTCTCTCATACTCACATCACACACCCACAAATCACACACACACCACACACACACATCACACCCACACACACACACAGCATCAGCCAATCGCGCACACACACACGACACGCTGACACACACACACACAACACAGCACACAGCAACGACACACCACACCGCAAACACACAAAGTCCGGGTTGGCGTATTGAAGAGCTGCACTAAAGATATTCTACCTGAACGGCAGAGTGAACGTCGACTTCTTGACAATTGAGCGTGTCCTTGCTGGTCATTTAAACCTTTGCCTACTAGCGTTGCCCTGTACTCAGGGTTTCCTGAAAATGCGCGCTGTATGCGACACATGCCCACGTGTATGTTGTATGCATAGCACATTAACTTCATAGTCTCTCTTCCCTCTCTATTCGCGCTCTCTCTTCTACTACGTGCCTACTCTCCTCTCTCTCTCTATCTTCTCAATCTCTTATCTACTCTTCTCGCTCCTCTCTCCTCTCTCTCTCTCCTCCTCTCTGCCTCTCATACCTCTCTCTCTCGACTTATCATCTCTTCGCACTTCTTACACTTACTTTCTCTTTCTTCCCTCCCATTCCCTCCCCTCTCTCTTCTCTCTCTCGCTCTCTCTCTCCCTCTCTCTCTGAATGACTCTGTCTTTTATCTTTCTGCTTGTATCTTTCTTCTATCCTTTCATCCAAACTCCCTTTGCCTTCTCTCTCAGCTCTTTCTCATCTTTACTCTCCTCTCTCTTCCCTCAACTTTCTCTTGGCTTTTCATTACTGATATCTGCGAGTATCATATGCACACACGATCACAACTAGCTCACCACTACCATCACCACACACCAAGCACACTACTATCACACACAACAACACACACGATCAACATACACGTCACGAGAGAGTACCGTGGTTATAGTTAATATAGTAACCTGATTCTATATCCACTAAAGTACATAGTATGTTAGTAATATCGGTTAACCCCCTAAACTAATGTATAGGCTAATATAGTATTATATATATAGATATTTATTAGCTAATGTAAGGTATAATCAATACATGTGATTGATGCGTGTCACATTAGGAAACAATGACAATAAAAAATTGTTTATGATCTTCAATACTTACTCCTAGAGTTTCCTCTGTGAGCATTATCCCAAAATTAGTGGTGTGAAACAAACTGAGATGACATATGTTTGCACTCGTAATGATAAAATTTATGGATATATGAAATGCATCTGATCAAGAATCAACTAGATAAATAACCGCAATTTGAATTCCTGGTAGAAATTTTGAATGAAGGGCACTCTTTCTGTACGTGTATTTTCTAATGTCTACGATTCCCTCTTTGAATTCCTTATTTATTTAGCTGTGGACTTCGTTTTCATTACCAATTTATAGTCTTTATGTGTTGATAAATAGCTACTGTGTTTTGTGCTAGTGGTGTATTACATATATATTAGACTATGAGCCTCAAATAGTTGACTATCAAGCATACAATAATTTCTACACTACCACTTAGTGAATACCTTGGGACACTATAAATATTTATACAACCACGTGCCCTTCCCCCCTGCCTAACGGAGTGATTTAAATGCTATATGGCTTACATTACAGTTAAATAATAATATTTATGATATTATTATGATGTTATGTGTATGTATGTTGAGCACACTCCAAAAATGATTTGACTACACTCACTCCACCGCTAGCGACTATATAGCATAACGACAGACATATCTAGACTAATCTATAGCAGACAGAACACCAAGACAGAACATCTAACAGAGGCAACACAACGACAAACAATAAGAGAGCGCGACACACTCACACACACACACACACACACACACACACACACACACACACTCACACACGCACAACACGCACACACACACACAATACACTAGGCAATTACAGCCTAGACACATATCACGACGACACGGCAGCACAGGTAAAAGCACTTCATGATTCAATATAGATGGGTTTCTTATTTGGTATTGTCAATATCGAGCGCGTGTATTAGCCAATGCACATATCGCACTGATTTGAAATGCTAGTGTGTATGCTTCTACTGGCATTGATGGTTCTCGAGATCATATAGATATTCGTCGAAAGATTATACTCCCTAGAGGCGTAGGCGTAGTTTCTGCCAGCTAACTGTAGGTTCTCTGACGAAATCTTATTGAGAGTTGCTGTACGTGAACCGGTTGCGTATGTGAACCCTGGCACTGTCACATTCGTCAGACTGTGACACAATCGACCATACCATAAATATCGTGCGTGCCTAACTGCACGCTGAGATGGAAGCTGCTCGATCCGCATAGCCTGCCATTATAAAAATGTGACTCGGCACGAAGTACACAGCATATTTCTATTAATTATGGATAGGGGACAGAACTGCTCCTAGAGGATGGTGGTGTATATGTTAGTGGATCTATGACTTCTCTTTACTATCAGCGAGCAAACGATACAAATTTACGATGCTTACGCATCTCACAAACTACACCACCGTTCCACGCAACCGTCAGCAGACTATCATATCACACACACACGTACAATCAACGTGCATATTACAACTCGAAATAACACATCACACAGACATTACAGCTCAAGTGAGACACATATATAAACAGCACACTACACGTCGGCTGACCACGCACGTGCGTATGCTTAGAGTTATGTACCCTACCTATCTTTACGCATATAAGACATGCTAAATATATGGATTTATGTTGTAGCATGCGAATAGGAAAGCCTATAATAGTGTAAAGCTCACGTTGGACCACCTGTATGACATTGTTTATATATGATATATAACTAGTGTAGTACTATGTGAGTTTTCCTACTCGATATATAATAATGAGCCGTAATACTTAATACATTGTGTAGGCCTAGTATCACCTCAAAACTAAACTAATTTAGGTCTAGCTCATTATATATGGTGAGTAAAGATAGGGAAAAGAAGTAATATTTTGAATAATATAATATATGGAGAGTCTATACTCAAATTCTAAATATAGTATAATTATACTCTCTCAAGGATCCCCAAAGTTTGTATATATATTAATAGTATGTGAGAGATATTAGAGTTTACATAAGGTATATGCATGGTACTATATATAAATGGTATATTATTTTACTATGGTATTATCTTGGACTAATTTAATATATTAAAGGATATTAGAATATTATAAGTTTATCTGAGATTTGAAATGATATGTAATATTCGAGAGTATTAGTATATTATAGATATAGTATAGATAACTATAATAATATTAACAACAATATTATTTGACTTGCGAAGGAATTATCTTACTTTTCACATATTAAGCTGTTGATAGCTATGATAGCTTATCATATAGTATATATGTACAATTTTCTGAGTTATATGTATAATAACCCTTTGATATATGATAGTAGTATAAAATAATTAATAAATAATAATATATAATAATATAATAAATATAGTAATAATTGATGATGTATATTGTGTGTCACACTATAGTTCGTTATTAGTATTATTTAGATAATTATATATCACAACTAAATATCTTTTAAATTACTATTAGTTATAACAAAATGTGGAGCTGAGATAGTCCACCTTACATATTTTGCTCATTTACTAAGTAAATAGTTAGTAGTAAGTATCATTACATTAATAATTATTAGTTACCTTTTATTATTATATGTTTAGATAATGATGTATGTGTGTGTTTGTGAGTTCTATGATAGATCTATCGACTAGTAGATTATTTTTTTATCATACATGTTATGTGAGATACAATTTTATCAATCCCATCCTACCCACGACTAAACTAGAATTCACTATACTCTACAACATACTAGACATTGTATCAATAGATATTTTAAGATCATTAACATTCTGTTATTATACATTCACTCTCGAACTATCAATGTGAGAATCAAGAAAATAAAAAAAGCTAATAAAACACTTTTTGAATATCTAATTTATTCCATTTAATACACTTTCACAGCGTATTACAAGAGTTAAATAGAATGAAAACATCACAACTCTTTTTGAGTAATACATACAGGTGTAAAATACTTTCTTCATCTCATCATGGCTGAAGAGTAACAAAGCATAATTTTTTAATTTATCCATTTTAATATCACTATCATCATTGGCTGTGATACACCTTGACAATGGAATACGCGTTTAGTAATGCTACAAACATTATAAAAAGGTAGACCAAACAAGAGAAAATTTGGAAACAAATTGCTCACATCAATAAAGACCTAATGTAAAATTAAGCCTGCTACTTGGTAAGATAATAATAAGTTTCATCTATTCAATTCATGCTAGATGAAAATGTTAAATACAACTAAAACCGGTCTTTACAAAATGCAACTCCATTGATACAACTACGGTAATTAGATAATGTGAGCAAAAGGAAAGAGTAATTGCAGATGCAAAAATAATTTCTTTTCAGAAACATGAAGCTGCTCAGTGACACAAAAAAAAACAAAAAAAACAACACATGGAAGCCTTTTATCTGGATCTATAAAGAGGTAACAACTCTTCAAAGACAGCTTTACATTTGGCCTGAGATGCTTATCACAACTTTCTTATCTTTGAACAAAATGTTATCTTTTTGGTTTTCTCTCTTTTTTTTCTTCTAACAATGTCCATATCTCGGGAGGTTAACTACTATATACAAAACTCCCTAGACTCCTATACACAACAGATATGAAATGAAATGGCACAACTGGGACCACAAAGTCAAAACCTGGCACTTATTGATTTAGGATGAGGCACTGGTTGTTCAAGAATTAAACTTGCTTATTCATTTTTACCCAAACCATGGTAATTCAAGTACTAAAATACTTTTGAAAAATAGATAACAAAATTCACTGACGTAACAAAGATGGGTACACCTCAAAGAAAATTGCGTCTTTCATTACGTACAAACATGGGTATTCAAGAATTAAACTTGCTTGACCTTCTTTCATTACGTACAAACATGGAAAAACATGGTACTACAAATACTTTCTGCTGGTAGGAAAATAGATAACAAAATACTGATCATGAACCAAAAGATGGGAGGAGTACACCTCCCTAAAGAAAAATTAAAGGAAAGGTAATCACAAAGAGGATTGAATATTCAGAAAATAACAAATGAATCTACGCAGAACAAACACATTGGCAGTTTATCCTTAGAAATACATTCTTTATGCCTAACTGCAAATGAGAAAAGTACTCACTTGTCCTTTGGTAACTGAACAAGATTTTTTGGCCTGAAAGCAAATGAAAAGTCCAAAACTATTTCTAAAAACAATTGGCTTCCATTTGAAGCAAATATGACTATCCTTTGTAACAGATTAAAATCTGTTGATCAAACACATGCTACATCTTTTTTTCTCAAAGTTACATTAACGAAAATTGTCATACTAGATAAGCACTAGCTATCACAGCTATGTGAAAAGAAGATAATCCTCCACAGTCAAATTTTATTCTACACATTTCACTTCAACAGAATTAATATCTTTTTAATGTCAAAACCATAAAATACTTAGCCTCTACCTTATGAACTATCTCCACAAACACAACTTTGTCTTGTATTACTATGATGGTGACTGCTCATTTTCATCTTCTTTCCCTCTCTTCCAAATGCAGACCATGTTGTTTGAGGTGACGGCCACAATGTGTCGGCCATTTGGGGAAACAGCACACTTATCTACAACAATGTCATAAGTGTCCAGACGTAGCTTTCTGGCTTTCTCCACCTGTTTGGAATATATCATTATCATTATTATCATTATTATTACCATAATCATAACTATTATTACTTCCAGTGAGATCATAGAAATTTTATCCCTTATTCTCAATAATTTGTAATGATGTAGACTATGCAAAGACTTCTGACTAAAAATACAGCAATTCATCAGACCTAAGAGGACCTCATCTTGAAATCAACTGATCCAAAAGCATACAATACAGTGCACATAATAATGAACATACAGAAAACATTTTATGAATGCATACCAAAGGCAGGAATCTTATTCCTGTTCTCTCCTTTAATTTCTGTTCAAAACTTCCATACAGTAAATACAAATTTGCAAACAACATCAATCAATTTTTAACTGTATGTAACATAGCATTAACATCCTAGCAGGGAAGGGCACGTGGTGTAATATTGTGTCCAAGGGTCAGGTGGGTGGAATTTTGTATGCTTGATGTCAACTTGCTAGTCTATGAACACTAGCACAAACACAGTAGCATGTCACAAAAAATAAAGGAAAACAGCCATAATAAGAGATGAAAATAAATTGTCATGTTTCAAACTTTTCAGGACTTTCTCTTCAGACAAAAAATCAACTGAAATTTCAGTTTATTGATAATCTCAAGAGGAACTCTAGGATAGTTTGAAACATAACAATTTATTGTCATTTCCTATTGTGGCTATTTTACTTTCATTACTAATCTATGCCCATTGTTTAGGGGTTAACCCACTATGCCTGGATGGTATGACATACATGCCAAGTTAACTGTAATTACATTACAATAATCCCAATATCAGTAATAACAAAAATGGGATTAATATCAAGAGCATTAGAAAACAATAAACTTCTCCAGTTTTCAAGGAATGAGGATATCAGGTAAGCATGCTAATTGACTCCTTCATGACTAAACACCTGTTGAGCTATCTATGTGAAAACAATATTCACAAATTAACACAATAAAGGCCAGTGCAGTTACATGGTGCCAAAGAGTTAACAAGAAATAGCTAATGATTCTCTACACATGCACAGCCACACCTCTGCGACTGTGAGTCTGTCTCTCTCCCTCTCCTTCACAAACATCAAACTCACCTCTGCGTCCTCTAGTTCTGGCCAGTCGAGAAGGGCAACTGGTTCGACTGGTGCGACTGGAGACCCTCCCGTAATGGGGCTACTGATAGTACCCGTGACATACTTCACCAGGTCGTATACCCAGAGTGTGCCCTTGTCATCACCGCATACCAGGATGCATGACACTGAATTTAGTGAAAGAAAAAAGGATGAGGTTTTAATGTGTTTAATAATTACTTGGCTTCACAGTAATACTCAGAAAAGGATTAGTAAATAAATAAACATATAATAATTTTGCACATTATCAGACACAAATTATAGAGGAAAAACAGGATTTCCTGCTTGGTGTACTGAGGATACAAAACAATCAGAATAAACTGAGCAAAATAAATGTACCCTGTTGACCTTTTATCAAGACTCTAGGAAATATATATATATTCTTGATTTATGTTCAATACTCTGCTACCAGGCAACTATTTGTACAACTTTTGTATTGACAAGAATGGGAGCCTGGAGTTGTATATTACCTGATGACAGAAGCTGATAATTCATTTCTCCAGGCAGTAAAAGCCAACTTACCTGTGTCAACACCCATATTCATGTAGTAGTTATCTGTGTCACTCCACCGCAACTTCAGCATCATGTCACTTGATACAACAGTTTCGAAGACATTTGCAGCCCTGAAAAACAGAAACAGGTCTAGAGATAAGGGCTCCCCTAAAACATGATATATCATTGTAAACTTAGTAACACATTTCTATTTATAATATGTTACAAAATTACTTGGCACCCTCACTCCTACAAAATTATGATGTTGCTACATAACATAACATGTTCCAATAAAGCAAGGATATTCACATTGTAGAAAAACCCACTCTAATGAAACTGGAATTTATTGAAATCATATTCCTATATGACCCTATACCACCCTACAAAAAGGATTTCATTCCTAATTCATCCAATTAGATTCAAGCAAGACAATAATACTACATCACAATTCTGTCCCAAACAAATAAACAAAGAAAATCTCAATAACACCAGCTCAATCTTATAAAATCGTACTACATGAGTACTTTCAAACCCTAATGGGCCATACTTGCTTTCTGTCCTCAGCTTCAAGGTCTCAGCCAGGGAGAAGATGTATATTTGGCCGTGGAGAGCACACTTGGCAGCTAAGAGGTCGTCTCGCACCATACACACTGAGTCGAGGACAGAACCGTTCCCATCCACCTCTGGCAGAATAAACTCTGTACGTTCCAGTCTGGAATTATATTGTTGATAAGACTGAGAAAACTGATTGTGATTGATTAGGAAAAGGACAAAAGCAAATAAGGATATAATGTAATCTTTGTCGGATACAGAGCAGTTAATAACATAAGTAACAGGTGGTTCACTCACAGCTTATGCATGCCGATCATCATAAATCAGGATATTTTTGCAGTTTCCTATCCCTGAGAACTTTACCTGATAAGCTGTTGTATTCTTAATTCACACTTCATTGTATGAGATGAAATCATTGAGAGTGACCCAGTAAAATTTAGTACAGATAAGCATGTTTCCTTAAGCCACAAACATATTCCATCTCCTCTGTTCTTCCCTAAAGTGCTGTATTCCATTCCTTTTCATTTATCATTTAAAATCATCTGTGATAATTAGCATAAAAAAATCTTGTTCATTTGCAGACTTTGTGTGAATGAATGAATGAATGTGTATGTGTATGAATGCACTTACATTACTACAAGATATCACATTCAAAACCAAAATATTGCACATACCTTTCATTATTTTCAATTTTTTGCATATCAATCTTCCAAGCATGCAGACCCCCATCGCAGCCCCCGATCAGGAGGTCTTGCGAATGTGAATAAGCCAAGTTGTAAACGTCACGGGCCACAGGAGGGATGGTCATCAAGTGCACTGGAGTCGTTTCATAGTTTGGAAGACTTGGAATGCCTACGTCCCAAAGCTGAATCTGCCCATCTTCGTGGCCACCTGCCGGGGAAATGTTTATAATAATGAAAAAGACATAAAAACTTTTGTAGGTTTTATAATAATTTCACTACTATAATTTTTGTCTGTTTTATTCATTGAGTTGTATTCATAAGACCCATTTCAGGTCATTGATTTTTAATAACTGCAAGAATGCAGAGGCTGCTAGCAGTATATGGCACTGTTTATGACTTATGACTGACCTATATCTTATCATTTAATAATAGCATGCAAGGATATCAGAATACGAAGAACCTTTCAATCTGATGTGAAACAGCCTGTGAATACACATGCAATTATACATATGACCACATGTAATATATATAGGTATGTAAATAAAATGATCTGCATCAAAATGAAAGAAACTTACAAAACAACCAAGTCGCTTTTTTGGGATAGAACAAGAGGGAGCACACAACTGCCGCTGCCTTGTTCGGAACTGTGCGGAACATTTGGTAACAGACGCCGGCATCAGGGTGAATGAGTAGAACTGTGGAGCGAGCACCTGCCGCTGCCAAGATGTTCATCCTCTTCAGCCCAAACTCATCCAGGGAAAGCGTCGACCAAGTAAGAGCGTAAAGGTTTTCTACTCCCGAGGCTCTGAGGGAGCAGAAGAGAGGGTGATTTTACGGTTAGGAGGTAATGTGGAGAAAATTCAGGGGATAGGTTTAGTGGATAAGGAAAACTAGCAGTGGAAATCTGCAGTATAAGACGAGATGAATCGAGAATACTTAGTCGAAAGCTATAGATATGTAAATATAACCCCTAATTTACATCAATGATTATCACGTTCTGTTATGAAAGGCTAGCTTGAAATGAGTACGAGTCAAATCAACAAATTTACATATTTCACTAGAGCAGTTGTTAATAACAGCATAAAATCATTATTAAAAAAAAAAAAAAATCATCTGAATTCATAAGATTTAAAGTTATAAGGAGAAATACCTTGCCTTTTTGGAATGTGTGAAAAAATTATATTCTTTTTCTTTGTTAATCAAAATGAACAACAGTAATGTAAGAAAAAAAACAATCATTTTTTAGTCAAGTTATTAAAAATAGAATATAAATAACACAAGCAGATAAAAAGCAGCAGCAACTTCATCACCAACAATTATATTTTTTCTCAATTTTCTGAACATAAAATTCTAAATAATGATAACAAATTTAATTCAATCAATTCATTAATGAATCATATACAAGGAAAAAGAGAGAAAAAATTTGGACACGTACGTCTTTGCATTGCGATTATATTTGAGTATCACTTCTCCGTCGTCCACATTAATGAAGCAGACAGATGACCCCCCACACGTAGCCACCACATCAGTCATATGCTGCGGCTGCTCCACATTGGGCTCAAAAAGACACTGCCAGATCTAAAAAGCACGAGAGAAAGAACACATCAATACTTAATAAAATCAACTCTACAATAATCCTCACATCTTCACATCAGTGGAATTTGTACTAACCTGTGTCTGCACATCAGCAGGGTCGTTGTTTTTGGAATGTGTGCGCAGGAAATGGACCGGGTAGAACTCGACCTCTTCTTGGCTCTCCTTCACAGCTGGCTCATCGAAGCGATATCCTACATCTTGCTTGTACTCTATTTTTCTCTGTGGAATACCCTGTTAGACAATACAAAATTATCAGATTTTCTTAAGCTGCTTGCTCTGTTATCGGGTTATGATCAGTCGGCCTAATATCATACAGACAGAATATTGGGAGAATAAACAGAAGGAAATAAAGACGGCTGGTATGAAATATGCAATAATTCTACATGCACGCATAGATAAAAATCTCAACTTGCACACAGTTTTTTGCTGAATAGACTAAAGAAATGAACTATCTACTCACACGTGTACTCTTTCCACATTCTGGGTTATATGATACTACACTAACAATAGACTTCCACAAACACTCCTAAACCACATCATCAGCTCCATAAACACCCCTTCCAAACAGAAATCACAATCACATTGCAACAAAGATATAACATTAAGAAACTACACAGGGCTCTCCTTCTACCCCACTTCTCTCACCAGTATATACATGTTACATAACAAAAGCGTCATCTAGCATATTAATTATTCTGGACTGAGACATACTAATGAGAACAGAAGCAAGGAAGAGCAGAACCAGAATATTCAAATAAAAGAATACAAATACAGAACAAACATACAAAGGTATTTTAGCTTTACACAGTCTTCTATTTTAAACATATTCTAAATATTAAAAACAAAAAATGGGCTAATAAAAGAATGAAATACTGACATGAAAGAAACTCTGATGTATACAGTTGCGCAGCCACACATATAATCACAGTCTACCCTACTACCGTTCCTTTTTCCCAAGAAAATCCTCAGTCCCACCTCCTCCTCCTTTTACCCCATTTCTCAGTCCTTCCATGCCATTACTACATTAGTACAACCAACGCACTATAACCATAACTCAAGGCGTGTCTGGATACTCACCCGACCTCCAGCTTTTACTCTCTTGGTGGCTGGTCCCCCCTCTCTCTGGCCCAACTTCACCTCCGTCATCGTGTTAACTGATGCTGCTTACTGAAAGTTCAATAAATTATTAGTGGCATTGATGACGATGGCAAAAATCATAATAATACTTGTATCATTATTACAGTTGTCATGACTACTATTGATAAAAAATATAATCCCAAACCTTCACATAAATCATTAATATATAAATTGATGATAGACAATTATGATGCTTATAATAACGCTGCTAATAATGAAAGTATATTTACAATGTTTCAGTTATAATAACTTCAAATAAAGACAAATCTTCATAGTATTTGCAGCCTCATGTAATTTCAATTAATAATAATGAGAACTCTATAACACTATAAAGCTTATAACACTGCAAACAATTAATAAAAATGTAGATAAAACAGTAACTCTTTTTCCAGCATTTATTTCCGGTGTAAGACCAGGCTCTGACCCTCTCTCCTGTACCCTCATCTCATTACCCATTTCTTATATGCGACTAAGTACTTTTCTAACGTTTTATAACCACCTCCACAGTTACTTAATAAATCTATACCCTAATCTCCCTTTGGTTCACCACTCGTTCCCGCTGCAGGAAACATGAACATTGAATATTTCAAGGAGGCTTCCTTTTATATACGATCTTACTGCAACCGATCACATCAATATACCTTAGCCTTTTAAAAGTAATCAGCTGCAATCTGTATGTTTACCAGCGGGGCATATTTGAAAACCACAATCTTTATTAAAGAGATATGCAATCTTCAATCTCTCATCACAATAATTATTTTTTTCTTTTAATATCTCTAAAGTCTCTGAGCTGTTGCATAGAGGACATAGCCGCATCCATACCTCACTAACTATAGTTCCTTTTATGGAATCAAAAATGCAAGAAAAAAACGATTGCTGGATTAAATCTATGTACAGCAATACAATGAAATAATTGACGATTTTAGGAAAAATAAATAAATTAATTAAAGAAAAAGCCTCATAGAATTAAAACCCTTCTTTTACTTTAATTATGTAACTGTGCCTGTGAAGTACATATGCTTGTCAGTAACATGACCTATGGTACCCCAGTAAAGGCCAACAGCATACTATCACATATATTCAGGCAAAATAGAGCATATACTGGTTCCATATTCATATCATCACAAGAGGTCTACAAGCTCCATCATACCACTGACAGTGCCCCAAAAATCTTCTGGTAATGACTGTCAATTAAATTTTTCTATACATGGCTAAAATACATGTTCTTTATATGTCAAAATTTCACACTGTCAGAAGTGAACAACAGTGTGAAAGGATAAGTTTTGCAAACCAATAAAAAATGTAATGACATAAAATGCAAGGAATTAATAATAAATAATAATAATAATAATAATAATAATAATAATAATAATAATAATAATAATAATAATAATAATAATAATAATAATAATAATAACAACAAATTGTAAAGCTGCTAGTTACAAATTATCAATAATAACCTCAAAGGCACGAGATGTAAGACGTAAAAAATAATTCCAATGATCAGAAACAAAAATAACAACATCAGGCGAAGTTTTAGAAATAACCTGCAATTTCACCTCAAGCCTCGTGCCAACCCTATCGTCACTCTGGCAAAGGACAACAAACCTCTGTCATGTAATTTTAAAAAGATAAAGAATTCTGTGGCCTCTGGCGACTAATTAATGCACAAATAGGACTGCGCAAAAGATAAAAGAAACAAAGGTAATGGCCACAAATAATACTTAAGGTGGTGATATTCGGCATAAAATAAAGCAAAACATACGGGACACCTGTAATAGCTTATCAAACTTTATCAACTTATATCTGCTTGGCCAAATCCAACGACACCAACTTCGCACACCAGAATCAAACTTATACATTAATAATATTAATATAATACTGCGCTTGCCAACCTCCCTCGCAATTTATCATCGAATAAGGAACCCGGCCATGGGTAAGGTTTGTTGTCATTCACCATCGTGCGAAAAGCAGCGACTGCCCGACACAACACAGCTACCACCTTAGGCTTCGCACTATAACCCCCAATGGACAGAACAAAGCCAGTGACGACACCAGAACATCGTGCCCTTCCGCAGGCCAGAGTGGGTGTCCTCGAAACACTTATTTAGCACCGATCTGACCCTGGCACACCTACAACAAATTCACCACAACATCTACAACAAATCAACCTCTGAATCACCATTTATACAACCTATAATAATCTTTCCTCAGCTTTACACCCTATAACACCCCAAACTACATCAAAACCACCAAATAAACCGAATTTCACATAAAACCTCACAGAGAACACACTCAAAAACACACCAAAAACGTCCTTAAATTAGTTACATAATAAACCCCATCAATAAAATAATACGAAAAAAATACTCTTAACCTAAAATCCACGTGTTGAATTTCACACAAATCTCCCAAAAAACACTTATTTCCCCTTAATCACGCAATCCTATTAGCAAAACGAATAAAACCCCATCCCGTTTCCTTCCCTAAGTGGAAAAATAAAGTAAAATAACCTCCCTCCTTCGAAATTCACTTATATACTCCACTTACAACACTTATAAAGCAAGAACACCTTTCTTGAGCTTTCTCTCTCTCACGAACCACAAAGATGTCCTGATTTTCGGACGGAAAACACGGTAAAGGAGGAATAGGCCTCGAAACTGAGAGAAGAAGGAGAATCAAAGAGGAGGGATAATAAAGGAGAGAAAGAAATAGGGCAAAAATGTTCTCTCTTGTTTTTGAGACGATGTTCCCGCGGCGGGGCGACCGGGGGGGGGGGACCGAGGCGGGAATTTTGAATTTGATAATAATGATAAATTTCCATGAATTAAATTGATATGCCATTATAAATGAAACTAAAAAAAATATCAATTAGGAAATTATCATATAATTGTGCTTGAAATTATCAAGAATATCATGCATTATACTGTCTTATTGTTATAAATGAAATAATAAATATACCTTGGCCATGGTAATAATGAAAACAATAATAGTAATAACAACAATAAAAACCAATGAAAATATAAATGATAAAAAGTAATGATAACAATCACAATAATAATACAGACAATAATAACAGGTCCAAGAACACTGATAATAATAACAACAAAAATAAATGAATAATTATAAAGGCAATATGATAATGATAATGACAATGATAATAATAATAATAATAATAAAAATTATAATATAACAATTAATAATAACATCATGATAATAATAACAAGAATAAAAACAATGAATTATAGATAATATGAATAACAATAATAATTATAATAAATACAATAATGAATAATAACAATAACAATAATAATGACAATAAATACTAATAATGATAATATGATAATAATAATAATAATAATATCATAATATAATAATAAATAATAATAATATAATGGTAAAACAATAATAGGCTTACGATTATAAAGAAAGATAACAGCAACGACTATAACAGATAAACTGATATCATTCAAGATAATAATAAACAAGAAAGTAACGATAAGAAAAGCCGCAATAATGTTTTGATAATATAATAAAAAAATAATATAATATTTCCTTATCACTCTCACTCTGCTTATTTGTCTAACCTCAAACAAATCCTTCAT